TGACTATGTGTGTGTGTGTGTGTGTGAGTGTGCGCAGGTAAAGATCATGTGCCTATTTAAAGATGGTGATTCTCTCTGACCAGCTGATAGCCGGCTGTCTCCTGCAGTCTTCCATATAAACTATGGGATGCTTGAGTATTATTCTGGATACTCTGTAGTAAATAAAAACAACATACACACTTGCGAGGTTGTTTTCAAAGTAAAACCGAGACAAAAACTGTGTTTCATTCTGGCATCGCTTAATTTGACTTGGTCCCAAAAACTTTATATTTAGGGTTTGTGTCACAGCAGATTGTGTCAAATGTTAAGACTCTGAGAACGTCAGCGTGACCCTGCATGTGTTGGAATCGTTCATCTGTCTGACTCTGGATCTGTAAAGTGTCATGTGACACAAGTGTCCACATGCTCCAGGTACAAAAACACTGAATGAAAACATACAATACCATCGATATTTGGTATTTTCATAGTTTATCCGTATTTCATTGTTCAATAATCGGGCTGATTTTAAAACACGGGTGTGAAAAAGAAAATAGTTTTTTTTCCAATGTATTAAAAAATATAGCTCCCAGTGGATAGTGATGTAATAAATAACTTCACATCACTGCATGACCTCACCGCAGCATCAAACCATTGACTCGTGCAACTGAATCAGAAGAAGTGGAGCCGTTCGTGTCTGGGATGTTGCAGGGGGAGCTCAGATGGAACAAGGGGAACCGGGGGAACAAGGTGGACAGGGTGAACAGGGCGGACGGGGTAGATGTATGAAGTGTGACTGTAGGACATTTCTTCCCTTTTTAAGTTACTGTATTTTAATGCTGAATAATTGTTTGATTTTTTAAATAATCTCTATTAAAGTTTCACAAGACTTAAACGTTGAAGCTGCATCCTGAGTGAGATAGTTTGACCCCCCCTCACCCACTGATCCCGTCTGACTGGGGAAACACGTCGACGTCTCTCTGCTGTGGGTTGATCTACTCACGACAGCATGCGATTAATTATTGATCGCTGAAAACGCAATCGACATTTGCAAGGAAGGAGACTACAAAGCAAAGTGATTAGAATAATCTAGTATCAAAAGAGTCCTACTCACCAGTTTAAATACAAATGTTGACGAGATCAGTGTCTTTCTGACTGTTAACGACTGAATCTCAATTAGATTAAATCACACCCCAGCAGTGGTTGACTGACAGAAGTGTGGGAAGATTCAAAACTAATTTCAAGGTGTCTGTCACTGAGGATTAGTCACATTTGCATGAAACATCGTGCAAACAGTCACAGTGCCAAGTGGATGAATCGTGGCACCAACACAGTGATATTTCCAGTTGTCCAAAACTTTCTAAACCTGAAAAAGTTTCTTATCTTCTTCCTCCCACTTGTTTTCAAGAATCCTTTCGTTTCTTTAACTTGACTTCTGATGTGCTTTGTTTTTCTTGTTTTCTCGTTTCTATGTTTTGTTTTAAACGTGTACAAAACAAAAGAAAATTTGCAATTAAATAAAATGACTAAAGGAAACATAGATGCAAAGTCAAGGAGTTGCAAAGTATTTGGGGTTTCACAATGAATCCTCTCAGCTTACGCACGTGTCGGGAGTTATTTTGATATTTGCTGTGTGGCTACAGCAAAAGTCCCAGTGACAGAAGCGTCAGTGGTTCAGTTCCTGCAGCAGCTGTATGTTATCTTGGGCCACAGTGACTATCATGGAAAGATCAACAGTTCAACAAAGACACTCTGGTGACATGTTAACAGCATGTGATCCACCCCCCACACACACCCACAGTGAAGGAGTGAATGCAAGTGGAGCCTTCAGGCGAGACTGCCACGCTGTACAACCCCAGTGTAGTTTGTATATATAATACATACAGTAATGTAATATACAGCCAAACACTGAGATCCCTCCTATATATAAACCCAGCCCACACAGTCCCCTCCCTGCACAACATGTGTAGAAACATGCTAAGGGCAGTCCACTTCATTCACCACAGAATAACACGTATATTTCTTCTTCACTTTAATTATGTATGAGCACGGCTGCACCCGAGGATCTGGGAGACAATGGGTGCTCACAGTGGAAGCAGTGCCGGGAGGCGTTGGGAGGGCGTAGACACATGTACAAGCTTTCTACTTGTTATTGTCTGGATCATACGTTCACACAAGGAAAACTGTTCTCCGGCTCCGAGGTTTTAATGGATTGCTAAGAACTGACAGAAGAACACGTTGTTTTCTACACAAGAGAGTCTGCGCACGTGTGGAGGTTTATAGTTGAATAGCATCACGACTTACATTGTGTGCATGGCAGAACTGACTCTGTATTCTGACCATCTAAGTTCAAGGTTATACAGCATACAGTCAAAAGGCTTGTGCTTAGTCTCTTGTGTGATTTGGTCATAAAATGCAATAAACCAATCATGGTGCCATTTCCCATTCCCTTTAGAGCCAGACGTGGCTGCTCCTTGCTCTAATGATAGTGGACTGCAACATGCTGCACATATTTACCTGCCAGGGAAGAACCCATAGATTTTTCACTTTCCTTAAAATTGTGAGATGGGGCAGGTTTTTTTTTTAGGGTTTTCTTTTACTATTTTCTTTGATTTCTCAGGAAATAATTGAATGAATGTTGATGGAACAAAACTGTTCATGGAACTGATATTTATCAGTGTGGGAAATTTGGTGCAGGTCCTAATAAAACTTTGAATCCTGGGAACTTTAATGTTAAACTTGAAACTGCACATGAGCTGACCATGTGTGTGTGTGTATGTATATTTTTGTGTCTGCCATTTTGAGAGCAGAAGTTACAGAGTGGAAAGTTGGGACAATCATATCGTTACAGGACGTGTGTAATTTAGTCAAATGCCATTTAAACTAGAATATATTTTGCATATTCCTGTAAAACATGTGTAACGTTCTCAACATTCGAGTATTGTCAGTCACATGCTGATCAGGGGACAGAAATCCTTGAGTGTGAAGACTTTCTTCGAGGGCTAGAATCTGTTTAAGGTTATCTTTAGGGTTTAGGGACTTGGTTGTGATGCTATTTAAAGATCTTATCTCCGCATCCACTCTTGATAAAACCTCCTGCTGAGTTTAGAGACTCAAACACTGTGTCTGTGATGTAAACACATTACCAGGAGGAGTAGTGGTGGTGGGGGGGTCGAACCCACGCAGGGGGTTTGCTGTTTGAACAAAGGGTCTGTGGAATGCATTATCCCACTGTGTGTCCTCACTATTGCTGCTAGATGTCATGTTGTTTGTACACGGTGCTCCAGCAGAGACGAGATGACAGAGACACTCTCCAGCAGTTAGAGACTGAGACTCAGGAGAAACATGTGGATTTGTCGCCATGTGCTCGAAAACCGCTTCTCAATGATCACAGAGAGGGGGGTGTGGCGCTCAGTGGTTGCATAACAGCAGCCTCCTGCAGCCGGTTCATATACAAACTCCAATGCAACCATCCCGCTGAGTGGTCGCACACTTGCACGTGTCTGATGGGGTGTGTCCTCTCCCTCCGTCTCTGGGTCCGGGTCTGTTCACGCCCCCCTCTCCAGTGTTTCATCCCGGCGCTCTCATAGGTTATTTGCAAAGGTGTCGGGAGAACCGGGGGCTTTATAAAGGCTCCGTCGTGTGAGCTCGGTCCCTCTGCCTCTGTCTTTTCTTCGCTTCTTTGTTATTTCCACCAGCTCGCACCAAAATGCCCAGCAAGAGGAAGAAGAACAAGCGCCGCATGAGGAGGGTGGTAAGTGGTGGCAGGCGACAGACTTTTCCCTCCTCAGCTCTCGAATTGATTTTACTGGTTCGGACGCAAACATTAGAACAAGTTGAGACCGTCCACTTTTCGGAAAATGGCCTCTGAGCGTTTTTCTTTTTGAAACCATGCGTCTTCAAGGTTTTTCTTGAGAAACAACCTTCCTTGTGAACCTAATCCATCAAGATTGTTTGTGCGTAAAGATTGCAATTAGTGATTAAACTTTTGCATTGTGTTGTTTTGCAAGAAAAACACGTCTCTTTGGATGTGCATATTTTGCGTAAAACCAAATATGAGCATTAATATTTTTTTAATTATGTAATTTCTGTTTTAATTATTTATTTTTTCAGTCTCGCTTCACTTGACTGCACACATTTACTCTGTTGTTGCTTCTCGCGTGACGCTCTCCGCTGCGAGGGGCCCTCCACGCTCCGTGCGTAAAATCTCGCCAGAATAGACGGTGGTGTAGAAAAATGTGCATCCAAACAAACTTGCATCTAAACCATAGCGTCTGTCACAGTTTGCACGATTCTTGCAGATGCTTCTGCATTTATGCACAAGAGACAAAAGATGATGGCTAATCTCTTTAATTGGCTCACGTGCGCCATGTGCTCTCTCGGTGCGCTTTGTGTGAATTTGTAAATGCAGGGATGGAGATTTTAGGTTTATGTTCGGTTTATTGTCATTAATAGTTGAAAGTGAGACATTGAGGGGGGGGGAAAAAATGTTTTTCCAGCAAAGCAGAAATTGGGGCCCAACCTCTCATCCACACACATGCAGAATCTGTTTTACTCAGTTTACATTTCTCAGTATGATATATATTTATGAAATATGACTCCACTCCACTTTTCTTAGGTAACAGGGATTTTTTTTAACTTCTGAACATTCAGTGCTCAAGAGTAGTGGGGGAGGGGCAATACAGTGAAAAGTTAACACAGAAGCTCCTTTTTCCCAGAGGGCAAAGGTCCCCCCCCCCACCTCCAAACACTTTCCATCCAGAATAAGTCATTGTTTCAAACTCAGTTAACAATTTCATCTTTGAAATGGATAATTCTCCATTAAAGTCCACCTCGAGGCCCAGTCCTCCTGAAACCTCTCAGCATGGAGTCGAAGGCATTCTTCCCCACCCCCTCTGCCCTTCCCCCATGCCTCTGGGCTCGACTGTGACTCTCAGCACCACACAACTGTATTTGGTAGTGTGTGTGGACCGGAGGAATGTCTTGCCTCAGGTTTTGCCAGATTGGAGCCTGCCTGCACAGTCTCCTTGATTCTCTGTCTGCCAGTGACACTCAGATAAAAAGTGGCCCCTGTGAAGTCACTCACACTGCGGTGCCACAGTCACTCCCACTGTGGAGTTCATCAGAGCACGGGAAGCTTGAACACGTCAGGTTGAATGCCCCTGTTGGGCCACATATCCACTCTCACTTTGATAAGAAAGTGTTTGGGCCTCAGTGGTACAGCCATTAACTTTGATTTACTGAGGTTTACATATGTGTTGTGGGGAAATTTGGATTTCAGGGCAGTGAATAGTTTGAGGGTTAAGACAGTGAAAGCAAAGGTGAGGGGGGGGGGTTGTTGTTTTGACAGTGGGTATCTGCTCCATTGGCTTACAGTACTGCTCCAGGGCTGTGTCGGCCAAACAAAAGCATTTTCGGGGAGTGATTGTAACCTGATTATATCCTGATTATGATGTGATTAGGCCCACTGTCTGGCCTGCGGGGGAACCATCAGTGGTGCTGACTCGTGTGGTTTTCCTTCCCGCTTCACCAGACCTGTCAGGATGGCTCCAATTCAACCAATTAGCCCCCATTATCAAACTAGCTTTGCTGTGCCCACTCCCAGAAACACTCAGCCCCACCCACCAGTGGCCTGCGCTCCTAAAACCTCCATTGAAGCCAGAGGGGTTTGTTTTTTTTGGTCCAGAGCTGAAAAACATGTTGGACCTGGCTGGGTTGGCATGCCTGGTATTCCTGCTGATAGGTGTGGGACTGACATAAGCAGATGAACACTCAGGGCCTTCAAACCCTTAAAAAGTGCAATTACCACACGCTCTTTGCATTTCACCATCGCGTGTTATCAGCCAGGTTTACACACTGAACAACTCTCCACAGCCGCTGTACATCAAGTATCAGATATGTTTATTTATGGAACACTAAGTTCCCAAAAGGACTCATGTTGGAAGATCACTCTTCTGCTTTCAAAATTATTTGGCTACTTAAATAAAACTTTTATTTACTTATACCCTTGTTTTTGTTTCTTCCTTCTCTTGCAGCAAGCCCAGAGGCGAGCCCTTGAAGAACAGTATGCAGGCAACCCGCCGGTCAAGGCTAGCCCTGGGATCGCAGTAAGTGCGCCCCCTGCAGCAACCCCAAAGCCAGCAGCCAAAGCTCCGACACCAGTTCCAGAGAAGATCCCAGAGGCCGTTCCCATCCCTGCACCTGTTGTGGAGACCCCCAAAGAAGAACCAGTTGTGCAAGAACCCGTCGCAGAGCCCGTCCCAGTCCAACTAGAGACACCAGAGCCTGAAGCCGTGGTATTGGAACAGACTCCAGAAGCCCCGGTTGAAGTGCCGGTGCCGGTTGCGGAAGAAGTGCCGGTCGTCGAAGTAGCACCAGTCGTCGARGAAGTGCCGGTCGTCGAAGTAGCACCAGTCGTCGAAGAAGTGCCGGTCGTCGAAGTAGCACCAGTCGTAGAGGAAGTGCCGGTCGTCGAAGTAGCACCAGTCGTCGARGAAGTGCCGGTCGTCGAAGTAGCACCAGTCGTCGAAGAAGCGCCGGTCGTCGAAGTAGCACCAGTCGTCGAGACTCTTCCAGTGGAGCCTTCCGAAGTCGCAGCTGACGCATGTGAAGCTGAACCCATCATTCCTGAAACAGAACCAGTAACTGAGGTAAGAACATTTTTCTTTTTGGACTTGAGTGTTGGAGATGAGAAATGAAGAAATGTTTGTTGTTCCACCGTCTAAACAAATTTCAGATCATAGATTCAGTCGAACTTTCTCAAATCACTGGAGCCATATTGCAAAATCAGTTTTTTTTTTAAAATAAATAACCCTTTACCAAACTGGTTTATTCTTGGCACAGTGAATTGGGTTCAGCTTGTACCCTCATTTAAAATGCATGCAGTCACCATTTTACATGCTTGTCCATATGTTAGAAATAAGCGTCACTTGGTATCAATTTGCATATGGTTTGCTACAGAGACACTTTGAGCAGTTTGTTTATAATCCTACACATATTTGTGAGTTTGGTGTTTGTGTTATGGTTCGGAGGTTCTTTTCGATGCCATTTGGTGAAATAGTTGTGCTGAAGGGAGGTGTGGGGGGGGGGTGAGGGGCGAGGGGCAGAGGGAACAACATGTTCCATTTAGCGGAGAGGTGGAGAGTAGGAGAGAGCTTGTCGTCAGGGGGAGAGTGGACGGAGCGTTCTTCAGCAGTTGTGCACATTATCACCTTTCTGCTTAATGGAACCGTCTGTTTAAATGACATCTTTAGAATTTTTCTGACAGTTGGATGAAAAATGTGCTGTTTGTTCTCTGCTGCTATTTAAAGAAGCTGTTTGGTGATTTGCTTTGCTCCAGGTCTGCTGTGCACTGAGATCCATATCATGTAATTAGCTTAGCCCGAGATCGTTCATACCCCCCAAAGCTAAACATTGTCATTAGCGAGCTGTAAAACGGTGGTTGCTGTTGTTTCTTCATGCTCAAGTGTAGGGGGAACAGAATGTTCTGTTTCAGCCTGGAGACAGACACACACACACGGTGCAAACGGCACATGTGTGTGCGTGTCTGTGTTGCCCGGACTCTTACACACAGAGCACGGCGGCCCCTATGTCTATAGTGTAAAAGGAGTGGGGGTGTTATCAGTGGCTTTCCCCCCAATGATTTCACCTCAGTCTTACTTGGATCATCATGTTCTGATCACACATGTGATTTAGGTTTTGTTTGCACCCTCTAAACCTGGACTGTTATTCTTTAACCACTGGTCTATAATGGCCCACTAAAGACGTTTCTATAGGAGATGGGCTGCACATCATTGTGTACTTGTTGAGCTGGGCCAATATCCACCCCCTCCGTCCCTTGGTCTCAACCTCCCTCCTCTCTCCCCTTCCTCCCATCTACCATACCTCCCTTCTCTCCTTGCTTTCTGTCTGCTCCTTCACCGCCTGCAGTCGGGGCCACGTTTAGACACCTTTGCAAAACTGAAAATTGGTCAGTTCAGATTAAACCGAACCGCCAACGAAAGCAGCTGCAGATTTATTTATTTTACTCGTTCTGCTTTTTATGAACTATTTCTTAGAGTTTCACTTGACTTTGATATTTAGCCAATTTGCACTTGAGGCCACTCTGTGACAGCAGTAGGTGTAGGGCACAATGGGGCTTGTGTTCAGCTGGCTTCTGGGTCAAAAGCAGGTGGCCCATCCACTTCTGGATGTCACCACAGACAGTCAGGTGAGTATAAACCCACCGCTCAATCTGGAGTCATGTTTTATTTCTCTGTGGCCTAAAAGGGTGGTGGGCGCGGCCGAGGCTGAACATTTTGTACCAGCTTGCCCCCCCCTCTCATGGCTTTCTCCTGTAAATGTGCGCTTCCTCTCACCATTTGTTCCGTCCCTCCCACCACTTGTCTCCCCTTTCCTCCCCCCTTCTTCCTTCACCCTCCTCCTCTCCGTGTATCCTATGGCACCCCATAGGCTCATATAGGCTTGTCTAATCAGCACGTGTCTGCGTTCATCTACGTGTCCCCCTTTTATCGTTGCTTAGAGTAGAGGGAGGAGACGGGACTATTGATTTCTATGTTGGGACGTGGGCGGTGTCTGTCTGTAGAAATGTGTAGTTCAGATCGTGGTATTTGTGTGAGGAGCTCACAGACGGCTGTTAGAACCTTTTTAAAAGTCTGACAGATTTCTGGTTGAGGGTGCCGTCAGTTCACCAACATTGAAAGTGCACGTTAGAATATGATTGGTTTACATATTTCATTTGATCAGAGAAAAGAGAAAGTGGTTAAAACTGAATTAAAGATGAAGATATAGGAAATGAAACATTGTCTTAAATTATCGTCCTCTGGCAAACCATGACGGCTCCCATTAAATTTCACAAAACCTTTATTTATATATATTTTTAACTTAATTTAAGTTTTGTTTGTGTCAACTTCAAATTCATGTCCCCCTAAAGTCTTCATTGGTCGTCAGAGATCCTGAAAAGGCCGGAGTGAGAATCTGTATGTATGTGTGTGTGTTGGCGTCTGTGCGTGAAGCTGGTTGGAACATAGAGTTCCATGCGTTAACTGTAGGTACACTGTGTTGCTCTCTTCATGCGGGCTGCCTAAAGTAAAGCTGTTCCCAGATCAGCCTCAGTTTGTGCTCAATTTGTCTTTCAGTGGGGCGTGCGGAGCAGGATGTGTGTGCAGATCAGTTTGGTACAGAGTGTTCTGGGGCTGGGAGGGGGGGGGGTGTGTCTACTGTATGTGGCCACACGTGTGTCAAGAGAAGGTCTATAGGCCTCCCCCCTCCCTCTGCTCACCCTACCCTATACATCCCTCTAAGGCTATATATACACATTTACCCTGCTCAACCACACGTGCACACTTGTTTGCCGACTCAGGCTTTTCTTCAAAAGTAGTTTGCGTCCCACAGAAACTGATTCCTCACCTCCCAGCAGCACAAGAGGCAGAGATGTTTGAACCGTCTTTTGTGAAACTTTTCACTCCTCTGCTGTTAATATATATTTTATCCGGTGAGTGTTCAGCCTGTTCCTGACGTTCTGTAGCCGCCTGCACGCACAGGCCTGTCCTACATTGAAGAGCTGGTACAACACAGGCTGAATAATTTACTGTCTGACTGTGGAGATTTACAATATTTATGCTCTGCTCCCTGTGATTGCTGCTACGCTCAATCAACACACTTGACTGTACAGTGGAGGCCACCAGTGGCCATGTAGAGTACTGCCCACAGATCCAGTGAATCAATGGCAAAGGCTGTAAAATAGAGACATATGAGTGACTTCTATTATTTTGAATATTTAGGTTTTATGAACCAGAGGTGAATTGTATAAGGGAGTGAGATGAGAGCAGCTTCCCAACATGCAATTGGAAGCAGCATTCCTGTAGGCTTTATAATGTGCCTCCTCTCACACACATGCAAATCACACTAAAGGGAGTTTACATTTGCTGCCAGTTCAAATTTATGGTCTGAAAACATTCATATTCTGGAAAAGGTTTCCTGTTATGGACACACTAATCCTGCTGAGTCTTGCTGGACTTTCTCTGCAGTTTGTTCAGACTTTTCTTTAAAAGGTCGTTTTGCTTTGGGCACATTTTTAGGACAGCTGTTGGAGCCCCTCCCAGCCCCCGACCTTTGTAGAAAAGTCAGAAAACAGGCTCACGGCAGCAGCATATATTTTTAATTACCTGTAAATGCATTTTATGTAGCCCGGTGGGCCTTTTATTGCCAGCTACTCTTTTTAATTAGATAAACTGAATTTGTTTGTTTGTGTGACTCATGAATAAACTCTCTCATCACAGGTTACACCCACAGCTGAGGCTCCAGAGGCAACTCCTGCTGAGGCTGAGGTAAGACACACACACACACACACACACACACACACACACACACACACACACACACACACAGCAGGAGTTTGCAAATGAAAAGCTGCATGTGCAACATTCATGCACAGAAACAAACCCATGCAGACGCACAACATAAACTTGTTCAGGCATTATATCTCTGCCAGAGGCAGATAAGAGGTCTGAATGAGGGAGGCATCACTCAATATGTCACCTCTCCAGTGAGTGTTGTTTTACAGCAATAATATGATATAGGCTTCTTAAAGAGGTTCCATGTAGAACAGAACAACACATTTTATCAGAGTAAAAGAAACAGCTGGAAACAACAGTTAAGTATTTTCTTTTTATGTGGTATGACATAACTTTACCTAGATAAATAAAGCAGAAACAAATAATTACTGGTCTTATTTATTTTATTTTTTTAAGGAGTACAGTAGACTGCATTCAGTCAAGTGCAAAAAAATCTCAACATTTCTGGAAATGCATGTCTGTGGGGGCTTTGCTCATATGTCACACCAACCTACTGTGGAAGTGATGGCACAAGTTTAAACAAGAGTTTCTCAGTTTCCACTCATGTTTTATGAGATCACGGCAGCAGTAACTGGGCGAGAGAAAGAACCCTTTCAGTGGAAAAGTGTAAAGATTTCTATAACTCAAGCTTCAAACCTTATGAAATTAAAGGTAATCAGGGATTTCATGTGACGCAATTGATGTAAAAGCTGAAATTGGGCATTATTTTAAAATTACTGAATGATAACTAAAAATAGAACATTACAAATACAAAACACTTTAAAACCAGACATGGTAAATAACTAACAGCCCATTGGACACATAAGAGATAAATCAGCAGATTTTAATCTTAGAATATAGATGATTGCAAACTTTAAGCAGAGTCATGTATCTGTTAAATTTATCCTTCCAGTCCTGACTGTTTTTTATTTCTCGTTCTGCAGCTGCAGTCGGTTGAAGCCACAGTCGTAACCACAGAAACCATACAGGTAAGACTGAGCTTTTTTTCCCGACTGCATGACTCCACATCACAGTGAACAGTCGTTTTGGTCATTTTGTCTGTCAGTGTGATGCATGTTGCATGGTTACTTAATGTGTGCTGTGTTGGATTCGCACGTGCAGACGCATGATGTCTGCGAGACTGAAATTGAGGCTGAAGCCTTGGCAGAGGAAGAAGCAGTCGAAGTGGCCGTCACAGAAGAAACCACCTCGTTAGAGCCCGTAGTGGAAGCCACAGAGGAGCCGATGGTAGAAGCGCAACCTGAAGCTGTGGAGGAGATCACAGAGACGCCTGAACAGATGACTGAAGCTGTTGTCAGTCCTGCAGCTGAGGAGGACAAAGCTGAAGTAGAAGTGTTGGCTGAAGAAGATGCACCTGAAGAACTTGCTGAGCCTGTTACACTCGCAGAGGTGCCACGCTGATAAAAAAATATTCCTCTTCCCCGTCTTATCTCTTTTTTGAGTTTTTGTCTTGCAGTGCTAGAAGTTTAATGTGTGTTTTTCATTTGTCGATGGTGTGCGGCATGAGTCTTAAATGTTGCATCAGTTATTGAGCATCCAATGTCATTAATTTCAACATTAAAGACTCATAATGACCTTTATTTGTTTTGTTTACATCAGGATGTTCCTGCATCTACAGAAATCCCTACGGTGAGTCAGTAAGAAAAGCTTTATGCGGTTCATGTTGACCCATTTTACTTTTAAATGAGTAGCAACACTTACTCCTCAACATGTTCTGTGTAAACTGACATCCTGACCAAACTGTTGTCTCTCCAGGTCCCAGCCTCCATGCCCGAGGCTCTGGTTGAAGAAACTCTCGTAGCTGAAGTCAAAGAGGTAAATTTTTATCTGATCAATTTTTCTCTCCAAATCAAACATTTGTGCTTGGACGTTATTCTGTGTGCTTACTGCATTGAACACCCCCCCCCCTCGTTCTCTCCAGGCACCGGTTGACACATTAGTCGATGACTTTGTTGTCACAAACTCTGCCATCGAAGTGGAGGTCGCCATTGCCGAGTCCGTCGCTGCCCAGGAGGTGAGACCTACACACTGAAGTTTATCATTGGACATTATCAATAAGCAACACATTTGTTAAGTCACATAAGAGTCGCCATTTTGTTTGCATCTGTAATTTAGATCAACTGAAATGGCACGTGAATCCTGTGTCCACCAGGTGGCAGGCTGCAACAAATGCATCGTAAAGTCTTTACTTAAATGGACTCATGTGATTTTTAAAATAAAAAAAGTTACAAAACAAACAAGATGAGAATAAATAAAACTAAATTAAAAATCTGGTATAAATTAAACGGAATAAAAACAAATTAGACAAGAAACAATTGAGAATGATAAATTTACTCTGCTGCTATTCATCAATTTAACATTGTGTCTATCGTAAATCTCGTTCTCCAGATTCAGTCAGTTGATGCTACACCCGCACCCACAGAGACCGAACAGGTAAGACTGAGCTTTCTAACATTCAACGTTATAGGTCAAGTGTAAATGCAGTCGTTTGCATCATTGATGTTAAATCAGTGTCGTCAACTACAAAATGCTCAGTTTGTATGATTGTCTTCAGTCAGTACTTTCTAACCTGTTCCTCTCGCTGCCGTGTTCAGGAAGTTGTGGCCTTGACTGAAACCCCCTGCGCCCTGGTGGAGCCTATGGATATGGCCCCCGCTGAGGTTGAGCTTCAGCCTGAGCTTAAACCTGAGGTTGATCTTAAGCCCGAGCCTGTTCTGGAAGTTGAGCTTGCTGCTGCCCCTGCATTGGAAATGATCATCGTAAGTTATACATACTATAACTTTGTGTGGTGTATGGAGTACAGCACATGTCTTTTAAAACACGTCCTACCGCTCTCCTCTCCGTGTCTTTCCCAGGATGCTCTGGCTGAGCAGAAATGTCTGGATGTGCTGTCAGAGGAACTGAAGTCAGAGGCGTGTGACATGCCGTGTCAGATGCAGCTCACCGTGGACTCTATGCAGCTCAACTCAGCAGCGGTAAAGAAATTCAATTAGAGACAGACGACAGAGGTTTAAACCTTCTCGTAGAATGAGACATAATCAACTCACTTGTTTGCTGCCAATGCTTGTGATCTCACCCGATCTGATGTCCTCTGTTGTTCAGGAGATGTCAGTGGAGACGGCGTTGAATGGACACATTGTTCCAGAGGTCTCCATCGAGGGCTAGAGCCACACAGTCTTTGTAAGTTGCTCACGATATTGAATCATCCTATCATCACATAGATAACCTGTGTTTTTACAGCTGAACTTACAATTCCTTTGAATTCCAGATTCCCCTTTGGTCATTTTGAGGACTCAGAGTTCTAAATGGAGTCAGCCGGCCATTGAGCTTTTTTCATTTTTCAGGGCTTGCGATGGAGCCGTCAGGAAATCGAAGGAATATCCACACTTTGAAGTGCCTTTCCTGCACTGGTTTCCTGTCAAAACACCAAACCAGATGCAAAAAAATAACCCAAAATGCTGAATTCTGTGCAGCAGAACAGACTGTTGTCATTATTCTGCAGAAATGGAAACAAACATATCATGGCTCCTTTTTTAAATCTGTGTTTCTCCCCCAAAGGCATGTACGGTGAATTTTTTAGCAGCGGAAGCAGACGTTGTTGAGAGACGGAGAATCCTAGAGCAAGATAAACAGCAGCGCCTGGTACTTTATATATTCCCACCTCTCGAGAACGTCTGCCTCCTTTCTGCATACACACTCAATGCATGTGAACACTGTAGCAGGGATGGAAGTGGCTAGTTTGCACTTGGGCCTGTGTTCATACTTTTCCTGTTGTCACATCTCAAAATCACAGATTTCTGCTCTTGACTCGTTTCCTTGGAGTCGGAGTTTCGAGCTTCTCCCCCTCCACTGTCCTCCTGTCCTCCTCTGCCTCCTAAGTGCCACTGCTTACATTAGTCTGATGCTAAAAACAAGTTTTATGGCTCAAGTGGCCTCTGGAAAATGGCGGATGTGGAAGGGAAGAACTCAAGATTTTTTATTTTTTTTTTTGCATTTTTTTCCCCCCTCACTTTCTTTTTTAATTCCTTTTGTATAGACCATATGATGTGATACAGTTGTGTTCAAAGTCTGTAATCTGGCTGTTGGTGGTCTGACTTAATCCAACTTTGAAATAAAGCTGTAGTTCATCGTGATGCTGACTTATGTTTTTACTTCATACACTGTGACACAAACTGGGGAAAAACAAATGTATTTTTAAAAAAAAAAGGGGAATTTATATCCATCCAGTATCGATAACACTTAACCTTTGAAGGTCACAGTGGGAGCTGGAGCCAATCCCAGTTGACATTTGGAAAAGTGTTTAATTTCCTGACCGATCTTTAGTTTGCAAAGACACATTTGTAAGATCGTGTTTTTCTAACTTATCTTCCTGTGTTATGTTGGTACATGACTGATGTAAAATCATTGCTCGTGTAACTTGTGTTTTATGGGTCATGGTAGATTTTGTATTTTTTTTAAAAACATCTTTAAATAGTGGGAGGAAAAGAACAAGCTAAATAACAGTAAATGACAACTTGTATCAGCTCAGACTCTTGTTTGTCAGGGGTTTACTTTTGTATTGCTTCAATAGTTAAACAATCTTCAATTAACTAACCCAGCTTAGTTAATTGGCTGATGAGACGTAGTGAATACATACTGACCACAAAGTAAATGTTACACGAAGATGATTAAAGCCAGAACTGGAATTAGGCCAGAGAACAGAAATGACTGTATATAATTAATCCAAGCAGATACCTCCAGCAGGTCCCTCAAACTAAATCAAGCTGCACCAAACTACACACACTCATAGACAAGTTACTAAAATGTGCCTTTTATTCATCAAAATCAATCAGTTGTTCCCTAAAAAGTCAGTGAAGACAAAATTTGTCATTGTTTCTCAGCTCTTCTCTCATCCTTCCACGTTTTGTGGAAATCTGTTCTCAAACTAAGAATCAAACAAACCAATAACAGAGGTGAAGGTGATGCTCATCACGATAAGGACAATGAAACACCAGACTAACTCAGATCAAAAGTTTTAATCATTTGTTTTTGCATCGAAATCTACATTCATATTAGTATGATGTCATTTGGTTCAGTAAACACTGCCAGTATGTGGTTTTACAAGCCTCCCTCTTTATACTGATCACGCCGTCAAGAGTTACAACTGAATATCAAGCATCAGTTTTTTTTTTTTTTTTTTTTTTTCCAGCGTCTTACTTAGGTTTTACTGGCCCCTCGTGTTGGAATTGTAGCAAAACGTCAAAACAGAAGGAAAGACCTCAGAAAAGAACGAAACAAAAAAGAAAAAGAAATGATAAACACATACCACATAACAGAGAGGAGGATATATATATATATATTTGTAAAAGCACATTCGTATTCATAATAGATGGTTTGGAATGAAAAAAGCGACAAGAGAGGCCGTGATCAACCAACAACTGTCCTAGTAGCACATTCCACTTATATATTATCTGATTTTCAATTCTTTTACTTTTGCCATTAATATGCATGAATACATGTCATTATAACGCCCCAACACTTCCAAAAAAAACCATAATAAATAGGAAAACAGGTGATTCGATTGGTCCATGAGGTAAAATGTGAAACGATAAAAGAAAAGACAAAAGTTGGAAAGAAACAATAAAAAAAAAAATGAAGCAAAGATTGTGACGCAGACAGGAAAGCATCATGTCTAACAATGGTTTCATTGTCTACCCCAGAAACACACACACTCACAGACTCACACACACCCATGCACACAGGCTGTAATCTCAACAAAGCCACTTGATGGATGATAATGATGATGTTTTTATATTTACAATCAAAGTGATGATTAACTAACAAAAAGCTCAACACAGAACCCCCCCCCCCAAAAAAATAAAAAATAAAACCAGATTAAATCACCATGTTCACTTTTAATTCCTTCACTTGTTGATCTCGTCCTATGCACTGACCATCCGCAGAACGAGGCTCGGGGTTTACCGAGTCAAACAGGATGAGTAGGGGGTTATAAATGATGGCCGTGATGGAGATGCTTCAGAAGCGACAAGCGGTGAGACGTCTGCCCCTCAGCAAATATTACGCAGGTAGACTCAGTTTCTGCTACAAGAAAAAGAGCACTTCAATAAAAAAAAAAAAAAAGCCACCGTCCATTTGGACTACCCTGGTTTGAAATCAAACACGCCCACCCCCCTGTCGTGGGGGGGGTCTGGTGTGGGAGAGCATGCAGTCACAACGCTACACGGTGTAGCCCAAGTGGGTGGAATTCAAAGAGCACTTCAAAAACAACACACGGCCCGCTTGGGTTTATATATGGGGCTCCGAAACAAGTTCAGCTCCGTCGTCAGGAGTTGAGGATGCAGGTTTTCACATCAGTCTGAGCAGTGTGTGTGTGTGTGTGTGTGTGTGTG